AAAAAAAAAAAAAAAAGGCTGTTTTCCTGGATCAGTATCGTACATTTTGGAAGATTAAAAATCAAAAGGCTTATTTCATAATTAAAAGATTACCAGGCATTCAAAACAGCATTTATTTTATTCACAATGTCCTATACTGGGAGTGTCTTGGCATGTAAACCAAAAAGATGATGTTTCCTTCTCATTTCAAATATCAAGTATGGGAAAATCCCATTTTATGTCTGTTCTACCTACTAAGAAGTCTTATAATTTCATTGCCCTACTCAACCACATAAAATCATTAGCCCTAGCACCAAAGGGGTTAAAATGAATTCACTGAGAAACAAATTATAGACATGGAAACCACAGAGTGACACTTTAGCCAGCATTTAGGCCAAAAGAGGGCCTGTCTTACTGTTGGGAACACAGGCCAATCCCTCCCCACCTCTACAACTGATACATAAGAATAAATAGAAAGAAATTAAGTGAAAACAAAAACTATAAAAATACTTTTGTCCTCCCAGAGTTACCTCTATGAGATCTGTTGAATCTTTGTTCCCCAACATCACTTAAATAAAAAATATTCAGTTGCCTAAGTAACACCACAAGGAGCTCTGGTAGCACACAGGACACGATGGCAGTGAGTTTGGTTTGTGTTTTTAACTATGACTGTATGTACCTTTTGATGTTCTAGCCCTCATGTGATGCAACCCCCACCCCCTGCCCTGTTTCCTGGTCTCTTTACTCTTTCATGAAAACCAGTTGCTGCCCAGTCAATTCCAACTCATGGCGACCTTATGTATGTCAAAGTACAATTTGGCTCCAAAGAGTTTTCAATGGCTGATAGTTTAGAAGTAGATCAACAAGCCTTTCTTTCAAGGTACCTCTAAGGCACTCAAACCTCCAACCTTTGGGTTAACAGTTTAGCGAGTTAACTGTTTTCACACCCAAGGACTCTGCATTCTCCTATTTCCTCTGGCAAGAGCCTACTGTCTTCCTGCCTTTCCCACATCCTATCTCTCTAATTCAAGATTTTTAGCAAAGAAATCTGATTTAAGGCTTGTTAATTGGAAATAACAAGTTGTTACAAATTTAATTGTGTCCCCTAAAAATATATATTTAAGTCCTAAACCCTGTACCTGTAAATATGACAATCAAGAAACAGAGGGTTTCTTTTATTATATTAACAAGGTTGTAAAAGAGTAGGAAAGGTCAAAATCTAATCACTTCTTGAGTAATAAAAAGAGCAGAATAGGCACAGAGACACACCAGGAGACATACATCAAGGGACACCAAGGACCTCGTGGGGCTATAGACAAGGACCTCCCCTAGAGCCACACCCTGAATTTGGACTTCTAGCTTCCTGAACTGTGAGAAAGCAAATCTCTGTTCTTTAAAACCACCCACTTGTGATATTTTTCATTATAGTAGCACTAGGTACTAGTGATTCACTGATGATTCTTTATTACTGCAAAACAAACTCAAAATTCTTACTTTGGCATTAAATTCTAGCAACTATTTCACTACCTCCATGCCAGGCTGCCACATGCATTCTGCATGCAACTCAGTCATATTCATTCCTCAAACATGCCCTCTAAGGGCAGCCCTCTTTCTCCCACCCTTACCCCAAAACCCCCTTACTAAAATCAAACCGATTCTTTCACACCCAGTTTACCTTTGAAGTATGATTCTCTTGGAAACCAACTCTATGTTCCAATGAGAGCAGACTACTTCCCACTTCTCAGTGATACTCCGGACTTTGATGCTTTTATTCCAGTCACACAATTTTCTTCTGCTTCTCTCTTAACTACATATCCCCATATTCAATTTTCAGCTACTGGCAAATCTCGAGTGATTCAAATGTCACCTGCACTAAAGGCTTCCTCACACCCACCAAGCATTACACAACACATTGATTAGCTATCTCTCTCTCTCTCCTAGAATGTGAACTCCACTGTAATAGAACTTCTCATGTTTGTATCTCTTCTTGTGCTAAAGCACGGTGCTCTGTATAGAAGCTAGCTGTTAACTATTTTTTTTAGAATAAAATAAAACATTATGTTTACACAATAATCTAAAATCACACATGCATGCAATGTATTTTTACAAACTTACTTGCAAGTTTTCTTTTTAGACATGATTATAAAAGACAATGTAAAAATTTTATTTTAAAAAACAGGACCATTTTAAAAATCATCTGCTATTTCCAGTCTTTGAACCTAAAAGTGGAGGGAAAGGGGAAAGGATCTGCTATTTCTAGTCTTTGAACCTAAAAGTGGAGGGAAAGGGGAAAGGCAAGCAAAGCTACTCAGCTGCATTCACTAGGATTTGGCAAATGTTTATTTACTTAGACCACTGTATCAAAAACTTTTCCTAGACAATGCATATTTTGACACCAAATTTTAATAGAACCTTTATAACTATAAAATGAATAATTTATGCTACTCAACATACTGAAAAAGTAGAAGAAAAATTAGGCCAGGAACTGGCTATGGAGGCTTTTATAACAGAATCTGAACCTCATGTGTTTAGGATAGTTTAGATTTACTTTAGCTTGGCAGTAACACAATGGCCCTGATGACCATCCAAGAATTCCTTTATTTTATGATTTTAGTAATTCCTCTTGTTGGTTCAAAAAATCATGACATTAGCATACAAACCACAGAAACCAAGTAAGAGGGATGGATCAAAAAATAACTTCTTTTTTCCTTCAACTATCCTTTATAGTCACTTTGAGTCATTTTGCAGGAAAGGATGGGACATTCAACTTGAACTCCTCAGATCTAGAATAATCTTAAAATTTACATGTGTGTGCCCAATTGCAGCAGTCAAAACAGGCTGATGGGCAGGTTGACACAGAAGGAAAGCAAGGTTTACCAAAGGCATCTGCTTTGCTATTCTCATCACTAAGGAAATTCTCCCCTTTCTAATATCTCTAGTTAAACAGCAGAGTCCCCATAGCTTTATTCACTTGTGAACGATAACAGGCTTTCGCTCTGCTTTATAAGGCAGAGTTCTGCCTGCTTCTGAATAATTGCTACCTCTGTGTGTGTGTGGGATGGGGGAAGACACCACAAACCTGTTGGCACTTGAGTCTATTCCCATTTATAGTGATCCTACGTGGTTTCCAAGCCAGTAAATCTTTATGGAAGCAGACTGCCACATCTTTCTATGGAGCTTCTGGTCAGTTTGAACCCCCAACCTGTTGGTTGGCTGCCAACAGCTTTAACCACTACTCCACCAGGGCACCATGCATGTCTCAGAAAAGGGAACCCCAAATGGCAAGTAGCACCAGAATTCTCAATATTGGATTGAAAAGTGAAGGTATGAACAATCACACCTTAACCACAGTACTCACTTAATTTTCCTGTCAATTTCACACACCCAATTATCCTTTTTTTTTTTTTTTTTTTAATTGTGATTTGGGTGAAAGGTTAGAGAGCAAATTCACTTTCCATACAGCAGCTCACATATGCTTTGTCTCATGACATTAACTACAATCTCCCACAATGCAACAGCTCCCCTCCCACTTCCTCTCCATAGTTACCTCT